CCAAAGTGATACTGCCTCAGAAACCCTAGGAGGGGTTGCTATGAATTGGTCCAACTCAACGGCACATAACAACAACACAACAATAACACCCAGGAAAGCATGTAAGCCAGTCACTTCATGCCTTTATCTCCCCCCATTTTAAATAGCCAATTTATAATTTGCTCTCCCTATCAAACCAATACTCTGAGGAGATAAGCATGGTCCTTTCTATCCGGAGAATCTTCTGTTGTGTTTGGAAACTTCAGGCATCTGCATCCATAAACAAGCAAAGTCCAGCCCAGCATAAGCCAACAAATGGCAGCAACTTAACACCAGCTCAGTGTCAAACACCTTCCTCTTAATTTGGTCGAGTTCTGGTCAGCTCAGCCCTAGCCATCCCAGCTAGGTCACGAGTACCAGCTGCCATGCCAAGTTTGGGAGTCACACTCTTCCCTTCACTTCAGACCAGCCAGCACCTTCTCTCACATCCTTAGCCCTCAGGGACTATTTCAGTGCCCATAGGCTTACAGCTCATTGCACTTCAGACCAGCCAGCCCTTCCTCTTATCCCCAGCCTCCATGGCCTAGGTCAAAGAGTACCAAACTCAGCCTGTTTCTTCATTGCTGCTCTTCCCTCATTTCCACTCAAGTGGACCCAGTGGTCACAGTTGACCAGCATACAAGCCTACTACTTGCTGGCTTCCTTTAACTTTCAGTCCTGGAGGGGTTTCTCCCATGGACCATGACTTTCCTACCTCGATGCACCCAAAATCTATCTGCTTGCTTGAAATTCAAAAAACCAAGCTTTTTTTTTTTTTTTCCTTTTCTCTTCAGGTCCTGTCTTCAAATGCAGATTTTCTGTTCTCTCAGTAGTTCTGGTTGGGGCTCAGGTTTTCTACCTTAGCCCCTTATACTCTACACACAGGGTTTGAAACAAAGGCCTGTGTTTCTTCTGGGCAAATTATATTTCCCTTTTTAACATAGCCAATCAAGTATTGGCTAAAGGCAGACTTACATGCTCTCTGTTATCCATACCTCATAATCATTTCTAATGTACAGCTAGGTAAGAGAACATGTAGTATCCATAGTACATTCAGATAAATACATAATCTAAAACATAATCCTTTTTAAGACGTTGCACTTTCATCTTTTCACTTGATTACCTTCCATTCTATGTATATGGCCTTGGGCCTTTGGCTGGGTGTAACCTAAAGCCCTACCCTCTGAATCAGTTATCTCCTTTAATAGGTAACACCAACCAAAGTAACCATCTAAGAATCCAAAGTTTCACTTCCCAGGCCCCTTCCTTCTTTCTTTTACAAAGTCCCATGCTTCTATGAGTCTGCAGCCACTGCAATGAATCCCACTACTGCCACCAACTGCCAAAGGGGCAAGGAGGCCGCATCCTCTGACCTCCTCTAACCCCACAAGAGGAAGACAGAATCACCATCAGTAGCCCAAGGCCTATTCCTACAAGGCCAGACAGGCCACCTCCCTCCAGCCTGACACCAACAGTTCCTCCTGCAGCACCTACCACCTCTCTGCTGGGTTTGATAATTTGTTGCAGTGGCCACACAGAACTCACAGATTATGGGGTTTATTAGGGAAACACCAGGCTACAATTCAAGTTCAGGAACAATGCTCAGTCTCTCTCCCAGCAGTGTGTGTCTGTCTCAGCAGTGCGTGTCTCTCAGGAGCATGTTTCTCTCAGCAGCATGTCTTTCTCAGCCAGCAGTCAGAGAGATGACTTCTGCCTCTAGAAGGGCTCCTTTTGAGCCT